GTAAAGCAGTTGCAAGCAACTATGACACTCGTTGAAAACATCTTTAAAAAAGTGGTAAGAAGTGTGATTGCAACATGTATTCAATCCTGGACAAGATGGGTTTAGAGCAGTTATGCTCCTGCCTCACAATTGTTGGTAATTCTATTATGTGGGTCCTGAAGCACAGTGGTCAAGGTCTTCAGCTCACAACTGAGCCGAGGACATTGAGGTTCAATCCCAGTGAGAGACAACTGGTTGGAGCATGTTTTCTTTCACCTTGTCTGTTTACTTAGCAGTGAATGTATGCTGAGGAACTAGGCAACTGTAGTGGGTTGCATCATGGGGAGGGAAGACCTGGATAAGCATAACTAGAGGCTTCCCGTCTCTCGAGAGTGGAGGTTGTCCGGTTTTGGAAGCCATGGGAGGCAATAGGAAGGATGATGTACACCATATACAGACTTTACAAAATGTTTGATAAATGTGATTATGGTGTAGTACCACATTAACAGGAATAACTGGCAAAATAGGAAGGTGGAACTTTAAACATATTGAAAAACAGAACCCAAAAAGTAACATAATCAAATAAGCATCCTCCAGCTGGATAAGCTCAGTTCCCCAAGGTGCTTTACTCACTCCATGCTCTTCCTCATTCTTGTGGCCAATATAAGCACAAACTATACCACCATGTCATCCTTTGCAGATGACACATATCTTGCTTGAGAGTAAAAACTGTAGCCGACCACACGTCCCACAAACTGATGAATATGGCCACATTTCTCCCATGCTCGAATTCAATCGAGCAAGGTCTCGCTCTACTAGATTCTGATGTTTGGACTTGAGCCAAAAGTCCTGTCATTCTATTCCACGTGGCTAGAATATGGGCATATTTTCCTTTTTCTCTGGAGTTTTCTTCCGGGTTCCCATGAACTCGGAGCCTAATGAACAATTTCTAAAATTTCTTACTGTTGGGATAAGAAGTCTATTGGCCTTATTAACACTATTGCGCGCCGTTCGTGCGCGCCGCAGAAATGACGTCATGCGTTGTTCGGTGCGAGCGAGCGTGCGGTGACACTAAAAAGTGTATACTCATTTCAGTTTTCTCACTTTGATTCTCGTGCTACATAGTTTGTTTTGGTATCATTGTGTTTGCAATAGAATTCCCTACAGGGGTATATGCATACAAGGTCCAAAAGCCCGCTGTGACTCCCCACAGCACAGCCTAAAGTTGGCAAATTACCCGTGAGCGTGAAAAATTGGTAAAATGTGTATATTGTACTCATTTCAGTTTTCTCGCCTTAATTCTTGTGCTATGTCGTTCGTTTTGGTATCATTGTGTTCGCAATAGAATTCTCTACAGGGGTATATGCATATAAGGTCTAAAAGCCCGGCGTGACTCCCCACAGCAAAGCCTAAAGTCGGCCAAGTTACCCATGAACGAGCACCAATTGGCAAATCTGCAGACTAATGTATATACTCGTTCAGTTTGATAACATAAATTTTCATGTTACGTGTTTCATTTTGGTATCACATTGTTCGCAAAATAGAGGCATATTTTAAAAATAGTCCCATAATAATAGAATAAATGGAATTATAACAAATTTTTTAACTTTTTGACGCTCATCACCACAAAATTTTTTATATATTTCCAGTGTTCTGACACCAATTTTCATGTTACGTCTTTTATATTGGTATCAAATTGTTCGCAATATAAAGTCGCGTATTTTAAAACTAATCCCATAGTAATAGAACAATAAATTGAATCTTGGCAAATATTTTAAAATTTGGACCACAAAAGTACAATATTTTTCTGACATCAATTTTCGCGTCACGTCCTTCAGTTTGGTATCAAATTGTTCGCAATATAAATGTGCGTATTTTAAAACTAGTCCCATAATAATAGAACAATAAATATAATTTTAACAAATATTATAACTTTTTGACACTTTTTGACGCTCATCACCACAAAATTATTTATATCTTTCCAGTGTTCTGACATCAATTTTCATGTTACATCTTTCATTTTGGTATCAAATTGTGGGCAGTCTGAAGGCGCTTATTTTGACACCACTCCCAGATTGATTGGATAAAATTTAAATTTTTAACAAATATTTTAATGAGTGACTCGAGATGGAGGCAACGGAGATGACTCGAGAGAAAAATGCATTACTACGGGGGGAGGCAATGGAGTGCGATAGTGTTAAGGTTCCCATAGTCCAACTACTGATCTCCAGGATGCAACCTAATGCAGTTGCTTAACACTTTTCTGGATTTTCGACTTGGAATTACGGGCGTTTTCCCTAACCGCTTGTCGGATCACGACGTAAATTTACGGTGCGGTTTAAAATATTTGTAAAAAATCCAGTTTAAATCCGATTGACTTGGGGTTTGTTTCAAACTCCGCGCCATGAAATTCCCGTTCTCTCGGGTAGGCTGCAAGTCACGTCGGCCTACTGGGTCACGTGACAGGCCGTGACCCAGTGATCCATCACGTGATCGGATCTCTCTCTCCTCGGCCGCCAAACTCGCACGTTTTCAAGGATTATTACCCGTTTGTGTGTGTTTATAACCCACTAAATTCATCAATAATGGATCCAGCACCAGGCCCAAGCGGTGTTTCGGCTACAGGAGCCTCAGAATCAAGTGGAAAAGACAGGATTACCGCCATCTATAGGAGGTTTGCTGGTATGAGGCTCACTCCCACCAAGATTCCCAATGTCTTGGATGCCTTTGATCAAGCTGAAAATGAACGAAGTGATGCAGAAGGTGAGGATGTAGAAGAAGAATTTGAAATTGGGGGCCGTAGACCCCTTGGGGATGACTCAACAGAGGATGAGACTGAAAGCCAAACTGAGGAGGAGGAGGAGGAGGGGGCGAGTTGCGGGCGACAAGCGAGTTGTCTCTATGATTACCAACCTACACAATGCAGACACAAAGAAAGTTCAGAAAAGAAAACGAGTTCGCAGGGCAGATGGAACAGTAAGACTACAGCAGGTTGTGGTGAACAAACCACAGGCAATTGTTGACTACAATAAGTTCATGAAGGGTGTTGACCACTTTGATCAAATGGTAAAGTATTACCATTTCGCCAGGAAATGTCACAAGTGGACCAAGAAAATAACATTTTATTTCTTGCAAATGGCATTGCAAAACGCTTATGCATTGTACAAGGCCAACACAGATGATCGAAGGAAACTAACTCTGCTCCAGTTCCATGAAGTTGCTATTTGGTCTTTATTGAAATTTGACAAGGCAGAGTGGCCTGCAACAACTACACCATCTCCACATCTAGTTCATGCTCCAGACATAAATGATGACACTGGTCCTGTGTATCCTGCTGCTGACCCGTCAACACCTGGCCCGTCGGGTGTGAGGCGCCCTCTCTTCACGTCTACACCTAGTGCTGAAGCTGAATCTGATGAAGATAATTCATATTCCACATTAGTGTTTGAAAACAATAGTGAGAGCGACGATTCAGACAGTAGTTTATTGCCAACCCAGAGACAACAGCAACGTGTTGTTATAGCAGAGACTCGCCTGAACTATAAATTGAAACATGAGCTGGTAAAAATCCCCAAACGTCGCAGGTGTGAAGTGTGTGCAAAGTCGGGTATCAGGAAGGAAACTCGTATAGCGTGCAAGACATGCGATGTTCCACTTTGCGTCATACCTTGTTACACCACTTATCACAGGAAAAGGGTGTATTGGGTGGACAAGAAATAACCACCCGCACCAGCTTCACTCCACCTAGGAACATCTGTTGAGCAACTTCAGGAATCAGTACCTGAAGGAGGTGGAGTGGAGATAAAATGCTCAACTTATTTTACTACAATCGTCTTTGCTTTGGTAAGTACACATAATTGTCTTAGATTGTTTCAGTATTGTAGTTTACTTTCTTAGGAATATTTTGATACCTAAATGAGAACTGTAGCACGAAAACTAAAGTAAGTATACACGAAACAAGAGAAACTTTTTTTGTGGGTGATGCAGGTGTTGCGGGTGTGAGTTGGAGTGTCAAGAGCGGGTTCCGGTTGTGTGTTTTCCGTCATCTCTACAGCTGTGAATTCCAAGGAATTGTATTTGATATGCATATGTCTTGTGTAGGGAATTTTATTCCGAACACTATACAAAAGAAAAAAAACGGTGTGAAACAAGTATAAACTTGAAAAACATGAGCAAAGTAAAAACTTTTGACGCTCACGGGTACAAACACGCGTAAGATTTTATTCCCCGCAAATTTATTTGATGCTGTGTTGGCCAACTCTACCCATGTTCTTATAGAACTTTCTATTGCGAACACATTGCTATAAAAATGAAATACGTAGCTCCAGATATAATGTCAGGACAGTGAAATAAGTATAAGCATTCAAAGCGCTGCATCACACCAGTGTCGTCGCTGCTGAAATCACGGCTAACGCTTCGCCCAGTTCCCACACTCGTGCGGGTCACCCGATACCATAATTAGACATTGATAGGCAAATGTCTGGGTGGGGAATTTTATTGCGAGTTCAGTGATATCAAAATGAGCGCTGTAGGATGACTGTGAGGCTGGCAACAAACGAAAGAGTATGAACATTTACTTCCTGTTTGGATGTCACGGCGAGTCATCTTCGTGTTTATTTACTTCGTGGTGGGATACCAAATGCTTGGGTGACATTTTATGCATATGATCTTGTAGAGAATTTTATTGCCAACGCATTGATACCAAAATGAAAAACGTAGCTCGAGAATTGATGTTAGGAGCGTGAAAAGATTATACACTTTTTTGTGTTTACGCTTGAGCGCCCAGAACGCCGCGCGCACAACCCGCTTTATTTTCAGCAAGTGCCGCGCGCACTAAAGTGTTAAATAAATTTTTTTACATCAGCAGAGTGACTTTTCGGCTATCACAAGACTTTTATTACCACGATGTATTTTAACGTTTTAATTTGCTCATTTCATTAAATTTTTATGTGTACCATTGGCAGACCTTGTCAACACTTTGTGTACTGTTAGATAATGATAATTAATATTGTCTTTACTAGGTATGTCCTGCGTTAAATGTGTGTGCTGCGTTAAGAGAGAGTGCCGTATCTGGTCAGCTGGTGGTTGCTGTAACATGGGTGGTGGAGTTGCTCAGTATGGTTGATCCTGTGGCCTTACATTCCCGACACTATCTCACAGTAGTCGTCACACTTATAGCTATATTCAAGCTTCTCTATGTTGTGAGGTAAGAGTATTAAAAGGCGTAAATGCAATAGTTTTACAAGTGAATGGTTATGAGGACTTAAGTGTACAAACATACTGAAACCGTATGATGAGATTAAACCCGGTTCTTGGAACTCCTCAGCAGGGCTGTGGAGTCGGTACATAAAGCCTTCAACTTTTACGTGGACAAAGCTTATGGTGCCTCCTACTCTGACTCCTCAATTTATTTATCAATATAGGGAATAATAAATATACAGTACTAATTGTTTATTTCCTATATTGATTGAAAGCATGTGACTTAATCTTGACCGCCACCACCACCTCGCTCCCTGAAGGTCCCCGCACATCTCCTATGCCAGGTGAGTATGATGGGCTCACTATTGCCCCATGCTGCTTGGAACTTTTTGTTCCGAGTAGCTGAATCTAAAACAGCAGCTTAAGCTTGCGTTGCTGTACTTTTGAACATTCCATTTTGTCCAAATTGGCTTCAAAGGTTTAAATTTTCACTTGAACTTGAAGCAGACGAGTCTGAATTACCAGTGCTCCTAGCTTCATCCAGTGGTTCTGGTGTTTCAGGCAGTGCTTGGAACTGTTTATGCAAATTGCTACTTTATAGTTCCTGTTTTCCTGTAGAAATGTTGTCATTACTCAATTAAATACAGTTATTTGAGACAAACAATCCTTGTGTGTTCAGAAGTACTCCAGGTTGCAATCCTTGTTACCATGTCGTTGTCTAGTCGCTAGAAGTGTGTGCGTGGGAACACCCACCGCATAGGTTCGAACCCTCATCCCTGCTCCTACGGATTATCTCATCGATGCAGTCACGTTAGTGTGATTACTCTCTGTGAATTGACACTGTGACTTGTGCATGCATCCATTTTAATAAAGACAAAATGTTCCTTCAAACTTTTTCAACGTTCTTCACAATTATCAATTGCCTTATACTTTCTTTCTACAAAGAAATGCCAAGAATTTTGAGCCATATCTCTGTTTAAGCCTAAAATGGCTGGATGTGAACAAAAAGGAGAGAGGTACTGTTTTTCACTGCCATTTTTAATGATGTGATTTGTTAAGTTGTCTGGCATCATTGTTACAGGAACTGTGTCAGATGTAAAGAATGTTGGTAGTTGTGTTCGTCTTCCAGTAGACTTCTGATCTGTTTACCCCTGAAGTAGATGGAATGTTTTTATTGCAATGTTTCTCACTCAAGGCTTCTCACACTTCACGATGAAAATGCTACAAGTGTCTCTTAAATTTAATGCTCTTCCAGGTGCATATTTATCACAACGGCTAAAACTACAAGTTTTTTCTTTGCACGCTTTTTCACAATAACTTAGACACGTTTCCCATCTTGTGTTAGTATAAAGTGTTCAGAAACACCTGACTATGTTGGCACTTTTTCTGGATGTGTCCCTCCTTCCCTTCCCTACTGGCAGCTCCCTGAAGCCATCTTGCCGAAATATTTCCACATTACGTGGTCACATCAGTCGTGGAAGTTGTTTGGTGTACTGGGGACTAGACCTAGAACCTGGTCTTACCTTTTACAAAGGTGCAGGGAGTGGGTGACAATCTGTTACTACACTAGAAAAAGCCTCCAGATAGTCAACGAAGCTTTACAGACAACTGCAGGCTTCACAGAAAACAAAACCTCAAACTTGCTAAACAACTCTGCAAACAATGCATGCAGAACAAGGGATTCATTTTAACTCAAAACTTGTTAGTACAGTACTTTTTTTTTTTTTTTTTTTTTTTTTTTATAGATATATACAAGAGTTGTTACATTCTTGTACAGCCACTAGTACACGTAGCGTTTCGGGCAAGTCCTTAATCCTATGGTCCCTGGAATACGATCCCCTGCCGCAAAGAAAAGTTTTTTCATCCAAGTACACATTTTACTGTTGCGTTAAATAGAGGCTACAGTTAAGGATTTGCGCCCAGTAAATCCTCCCCGGCCAGGATAAGAACCCATGACATAGCGCTCGCGGAACGCCAGGCGAGTGTCTTACCACTACACCACGGAGACTGCTTAAATTACTGATTATCACCACCAGGTAACAGCACCTTCCTATCATCTTTTGCAGACGACACGAAAATCAGCATGAACATTACTTCTGTTGAAGACATTGATAAACTAGAAGCAGATATAAAGTATTTGACTGAGCAGCAGAAAATGACATGATTTTTAACAGTGATAAATTCCAGATACAGTGTACTTAGATATAGTAAATATGAAGACCTTAAATAAAATATGAGCTATAAAATGCAATAAAATCTGACCACAGTAGGAAAGCAGCAAGTTAAGGATCTGGGAATAATGATGACTGATGACAACATTTAATGAACATAACAAAGCTAATTAGCATCAGCTAGAAAAATGATAGGATGGATTACACTGCCTCTAGTGTTGTAGTTCATCAGATTGTGGGCATGCCTTCTGTTTCACGGTAAGTGTCCACTAGCCTTGGAATTTGTTGTCCTGCCACAGTAATTTGCTTTGTATATTGTTTCTGTATTTTAGTATTTGCTTCATGTTTGTTTTCATTCTGGCTTGTTGTGTGGGCTTGGCTCTTGCTGCATTTTGGGCTTCATGAGCTCAGAGTTTTCTTCCTTGAGTACTCACAAATGTTGTCCTTGCACAGTTACTTTCTCTGGTGTGTTTGCAAGTTTGTCCCTGAGAGGCCTAGCCACTTGTAGTGTCTCATCTTGGGCTAATCACGGATCTCTGATTTCTGTTTGGCCTCTTGGCTGAAGGCCTTGTTTGGTTTGTGGTGAGGCATAATGGAGTTTGTGTGCTTGTTTATACAGTACGCCGTGGTCATCCATTGTAGTCTAGTTTGTCTGGCTGTGGTTGGTGACTTCTTCCAGCAAGTGACTGCAGTCTGTATGGTGTCTGCTTAATCACCTTCTGACCCTGGGAATCCACAGCGGGTCTTTGACGTGCCCATTGTGGATTGGCCCGTTGAGCCTACTTTCGCCAAGTCAAAGTTTGAGGTGTGTTCATTGTCTTTGCTGTCAGACAATGATCATTCATTCTGCCCCTGCCATGCTGCTTGTTGGGTCGGTGACACCTATGACCCAGTCCTGTGAGGTTTGTTATTGCTAGGTCTCTGCTCTTACAGATTCCACTTCCCAATTGGAGGCTTTTCAAGCAGCTGGCGCTTTGCAAGCGAGGTTTGTTCATGTTAGGTGTTTGGGGAACCCAGAACTTTAGGTGCTGTTGGCCTCCAGCTGGACTCCCGTCTTCACCTCCTCTTTCTTCACCTCCTCTTTCTTCACCCTGTGGATGTGATTTACCCTGCTTCTGGTCTACCCCCCTCCCACTCCCACTTGAGCATTTGAGGGTTTTGGAGTTGTCAGGGTTTAGCTCAGGGTGTAACTTGTCCTTCTCCAGTGGTGGTGCAGACACCTTCCTATCTCAGATGTTGGGCGAGGACTTTGGCTCTGCCTCAAAACTTTCGTGGCAGCTTCTGAGCCTGAGGAGTGCCCATGGGGGCCTTTCAGCCATTTAAGGACTTTCGTTCCCCTCCGTGGAGGATCGTTTGCTGCAAGGGGATAATTCATGTCCTCCCTCCATGTATGTGTTGGATCACTCGCCTGCTCTCCCTCAGGTTTGGACTTAGGTCCCATTTAGCATTTCAAAATCGTCGTATTTCTAGAGGTTTCGGTCTTCCTATACTGGGCCGTCTGTGGTCTGCGTGGAGTTGCTTCGGTATCTCCCACAGAATGCAGACCTTTTTCCATGATGGACCTGGCCTCTTTTTAGTATAGATCTGCCTGGGCTTAATGATTGCAGTATGAGGTCTTAGGGTCATCTTGGCTGGCTGACAACCTTTTCTTTTCCTTGGGGGCTTGTCAGGGGTTGTGTTGAACCTGCATACCTGATTGGTGGGTGGTTAGCTCCATCTTGCAGGTGTTCCTGGGTGGTGCTTGTTTTGCTCCAGTCTTGAGCTGGCTGACTGCTCCAGCATTTCCCGAGAATGTTGACAAGTGGCAGCTCCATGTGTAGTTTCCTGTGCTGCCTGGGGCCTTTATTACAGAAGACCACAGGGCATGTTTTCACTTGCCAGTGGTCTTGCATGTCTGAGCCCTTGTGGAGGGGGCTTTCTGAGCAACTCCATGCAGATGTGGCATTACTGGGATCCTCTTTGGGTGCAGAAGCATTGTGTCCTGCAGTTCTGGCCTTGGCAGCCTTGCTGAAGATGAATGCCTCTCTCCTTCAAGAGTTGGTGGCAACATTTTATGCAGCCTGCCTTGTGTGTCGATGGGCTGAGTTGGCATGTTCTATAGATTCAGACAGTTTGGCTGCCTCTCCATTACACCTCTCCTCTTTTTCTGGGGATGCTGTTGCCACAGGTTGATTCCATAGTGACTTTTTCATGCTATTCAATTGATCAAATGCTTGATTCTTGGGGTTCTGTTCCCTTTTGGAGGCAGTCTGGTCGGGTGGGGACCTCGCCTGCTGGTGGTTGAGAGTAGGTCGTCATGTGGGTCTCATTCCCAGGCCGTTGTTTCCCGAGGAGGGTTCCTCCTCTGCTTGATGTCACAGAACTACATGTCGTGGAAGTCTGGTTCTTGCTCAGGGTTTCTACATATTTCCTGGCAGTGGCAGTAAAAAGTTGCCTGGCACTTGTTTCGCCTCTATTTGTATATTCTTCGACTTTTCAGTTTTCGACAGATCGGTCAGGTGTGTTCTATCCTTTTTGTTGTTGTTATTTCTTGATTGGTATCTCATGATTAATACTGTTGCCTCATCGTTTGGTATTGGTGGAGCCACTGTTGCTTTTATTCGGTGTCGACACCTCCATGCTACAATTTCTCTAGTTGTCTAATGCATTTTTCACTTCTGGCCTGCTCATGCTTCTTATGAGCTGTTCTGGTCTCTTGACAGGGTTTGTTTTTCTTGCCTCGCCTTGGTTTCCGGTTTTCCCCTTCAGTTCATTTTTTTTTTTAAATAAAGTATTCTTGTTAGCGCCCACTTCTGTCTGTAGGGTTCAGAAGATTCAGGCTCTTCTCTGGAGGTGGGGTTCTGTTCCTTTGTATCTGGTGGGTGGTTTATTCATTTGCAGCCTTCTCTTTCTTTTCTGCATGTGACGAATGATTTGGCAGGCTTCCAGAGGAGTCCGAGGTGAAGGCTGCTTCCTTGATTTGGCCTTGGGTGCATCATTTGTTGTTTAGTGGTGGCTCTTCACAGCTATCTCTGAGCCACTGATTCTGTCTTGGTGGATGCTTTGTTGGTTGATCCCACCGTTTCCTTGGTTCTCTGTTCCAAGGCTCACATTTCTCAGATTGTCTGGAGTATCATTAAGTCTACCTTTGGGGCCCATGAAGTTCATAAATAGCGGCTTTGGCTGCAGTCGTCTTCTGACGTGTCCTGGACTGATATTTGGGCTCGGAGGTTTTGGCGTTCTAACAGGGTTCTGGTGGCTCAGGTATTTGGTCAGTGTTAATGGTCCCAATTGGCAGTGTGTTGCTTTGGACCATATCTCCTGGCCTGGTTTCTCTTCGTTGTCCTAGTGCCTCCCGTCTCTCTTCCTTCCTGGTAAGTGTTGTTTTTGTTCTCTGTGGTTAGTTTCAGGAAGCTACTTGATGCCTCCAGAAACTCCACCTTCTGGAACTCGTTGATTTTTGGTGGCTCCGTGATTCACTTCCCCTCCAGGTTTGTTGGTTCGTTGTTGGGTTCATCAGCAGCTCCAGACAGAGGGTTGGGGCTAGGCCACCTGGTAGTGATAATTGTACTAATGAGTTTCAAGTTGGCCAGCGTGAATTTTTTGTTCTGTGTGAATCGTTTGCAGAGATGTTTGGCAGTTTTATGGCTTGGTTTTCTGTGGACCGTCCAGATGTTCTTAAACTGACTTTCTGCAGGCTCTTTCTGGTGAGGTGGCCAAGCGTCGCCTGCTCCCTGCACTGATCGGTACCTCTCCTAATGTAATAAATATCCTGATAATATAACCTGAAAAATACATCAAATTATTATCGTTAAATAGGAAATGTTATATCAATATTAGTTTAAATTTATTAGCAGTCAGAATTGGTACATTTTTACCGATTCTAATAACTCAAGAACTGCTTCAGACTCTTGACTCCAATACTCAGACTCCACAGCCCTGCTCCTCAGGCATTTGCACTACCAACTGGACACTGGAGTTTGATCCCATTGTACGGCTTCAATAATTTCTCACATGTATGAAGTTCTCATGATTTCATTGTGCACTTGAATGCATTATATACATAGTGTAGATTTAATATCTAATACTGTATATCAAAATAGGAATAAAGTTAAATTGTCTGATACAACTAAGCATTTTTTACCGTTTCCAGACCAGAGAACTCTGCTGGGTGTCCAAGCTGTGCTTCTCAGGTCCCTGTGAGAAGTTTCTCACCTTTAAATAGTCTTCTTTTGAAGCTACTCCTTGGCTGGCTATTTGATCTGCCAAACTTCCCCGATGGGTTGTTCTTTGTTGATGTGGGAGAAGCAGATATTGATCATATGGAGTATAGCAAAACTCTACAAGTTCTTAATGACAATTACAAGTACCTGTGCCTTCCTTGTTTAAGGATGCTGTTAATTCCCTCTCATAAAGAGCTGAACAAAAGTATGCTGGTTGATGCAAAATCTAGACAGAGGGAGACGTCTCCCGTTAGATGTCTTTCCCCTATAAAAGGCACGGCACAAGCGCTCGCAAAAACGCTTTCAAAACAATTATTACAAGGTAACATCTTTAATATGTGCTCTCTTGATTATTTTTCTCTAAAAATATCTTAAAATGCAACAGTACTGCAGTGCAAAAGCTGCTTAAATACTTCTTCACACACAAACGTTTTCCCTTCCCTGCAGGACCATTGTCACCAGCTAAAACTCCCTCCAAGTTCTTGTTGGTGAGCATGCTGGAGAGTCCGCTGGTGACGCCCCAGAAAGCAACCGACACCCACATTGTGGACCGACGCATGTATCGTCTAGATACAATAGATTTTGTTGACCATCAGGTAATAATACCAGACAATGTGATACTAAATAGTTTGAATAAATCTACAAGGGCCGTGATGAGGCTTCAAAATTACGTTTTCTTATATGGCTCATAACTTATGTTTGAAGAATCGTTCAAAATAATCAGTTGTTTATTTTGAAAGCGAGCGATTGTGGGTGAGAGTGGGCGAGTGTTGGGGGGGGGGGGTGAGAGTGGGCGAGTGTTGGGGGGAGTGAGTGGGGGTGAGTGTTGGGGGGTGAGAGTGGGCGAGTGTTGGGGGGGGGGGTGAGTGTAATTACCTAAGTAATTACCTAAGTGTAGTTACAGGATGAGAGCTACGCTCGTGGTGTCCCGTCTTCCCAGCACTCTTTGTCATATAACGCTTTGAAACTACTGACGGTCTTGGCCTCCACCACCTTCTCACTTAACTTGTTCCAACCGTCTACCACTCTATTTGCGAAGGTGAATTTTCTTATATTTCTTCGGCATCTGTGTTTAGCTAGTTTAAATCTATGACCTCTTGTTCTTGAAGTTCCAGGTCTCAGGAAGTCTTCCCTGTCGATTTTATCAATTCCTGTTACTATTTTGTACGTAGTGATCATATCACCTCTTTTTCTTCTGTCTTCTAGTTTTGGCATATTTAATGCTTCTAACCTCTCCTCGTAGCTCTTGCCCTTCAGTTCTGGGAGCCACTTAGTAGCATGTCTTTGCACCTTTTCCAGTTTGTTGATGTGCTTCTTAAGATATGGGCACCACACAACAGCTGCATATTCTAGCTTTGGCCTAACAAAAGTCATGAACAATTTCTTTAGTATATCGCCATCCATGTATTTAAATGCAATTCTGAAGTTAGAAAGCATTGCATAGGCTCCTTGCACAATATTCTTTGTGGTCCTCAGGTGATAGTTTTCTATCTAGAACCACTCCTAGATCTCTTTCTTTATCAGAATTCTTTAAAGATTTCTCACATAATATATAGGTTGTGTGGGGTCTATGTTCTCCTATTCCACATTCCATAACATGACATTTATTAACATTAAATTCCATTTGCCAAGTGGTGCTCCATATACTTATTTTGTCCAGGTCTTCTTGAAGGGCATGACAGTCATCTAAATTTCTTATCCTTCCTATTATCTTAGCATCATCAGCAAACATGTTCATATAATTCTGTATACCAACTGGTAGATCATTTATGTAGACAATAAACATCACTGGTGCAAGAACTGAACCCTGTGGTACTCCACTTGTGACATTTCTCCATTCCGATACATTGCCTCTGATTACTGCCCTCATTTTTCTATCAGTCAGAAAATTTATCATCCATGATAGAAGCTTACCTGTCACCCCTCCAATATTTTCCAGTTTCCAGAACAACCTCTTATGTGGAACTCTGTCGAAAGCCTTTTTTAGGTCCAGATAGATGCAGTCAACCCAACCATCTCTTTCCTGTAATATCTCTGTGGCTCGATTATAGTGTGGGTGAGTGTTGGGGGATGAGAGTGGGCGAGTGTTGGGGTGGGGGTGAGAGTGGGCGAGTGTTGGGGGGGTGGTGAGAGTGGGCGAGTGTTGGGGGGGTGGTGAGAGTGGGCGAGTGTTGGGGTGGTGGTGAGAGTGGGCGAGTGTTGGGGTGGGGGGGTGAGAGTGGGCGAGTGTTGGGGGGGGTGAGTGTGGGCGAGTGTTGGGGGAAGGGGGTGAGAGTGGGCGAGTGTTGGGGGAAGGGGGTGAGAGTGGGCGAGTGTTGGGGGAAGGGGGTGAGAGTGGGCGAGTGTTGGGGGAAGGGGGTGAGAGTGGGCGAGTGTTGGGGGAAGGGGGTGAGAGTGGGCGAGTGTTGGGGGAAGGGGGTGAGAGTGGGCGAGTGTTGGGGGAAGGGGGTGAGAGTGGGCGAGTGTTGGGGGAAGGGGGTGAGAGTGGGCGAGTGTTGGGGGAAGGGGGTGAGAGTGGGCGAGTGTTGGGGGAAGGGGGTAAGAGTGGGCGAGTGTTGGGGTGGGGGTGAGAGTGGGCGAGTGTTGGGGGGTGAGAGTGGGCGAGTGTTGAGGGGGTGAGAATGGGCGAGTGTTGCGGGGGGGGGGGGTGAGAGTGGGCGAGTGTTGGGAGGGGTGAGAGTGGGAGTGTGTTGAGGGGGGGGTGAGAGTGGGCGAGTGTTGGGGGGGGTGAAAGTGGGCGAGTGTTGGGGGGGGTGAGAGTGGGCGAGTGTTGGGGGGGGGTGAGTGTGGGCGAGTGTTGGGGGGGGGTGAGAGTGGGCGAGTGTTGAGGGGGGGGTGAGAGTGGGCGAGTGTTGAGGGGGGGGGGTGAGAGTGGGCGAGTGTTGAGGGGGGGTGAGAGTGGGCGAGTGTTGGGGGGTGAGAGTGGGCGAGTGTTGGGGGGTGAGAGTGGGCGAGTGTTGGGGGGGGTGAGAGTGGGCGAGTGTTGGGGGGGGGTGAGAGTGGGCGAGTGTTGGGGGGGGGTGAGAGTGGGCGAGTGTTGGGGGGGGGGTGAGAGTGGGCGAGTGTTGGGGGGGGGGGGGGGGTGAGAGTGGGCGAGTGTTGGGGGGGGGGGGGTGAGAGTGGGCGAGTGTTGAGGGGGGGGTGAGAGTGGGCGAGTGTTGAGGGGGGGGTGAGAGTGGGCGAGTGTTGGGGGGGGTGAGAGTGGGCGAGTGTTGGGGGGGGTGAGAGTGGGCGAGTGTTGGGGGGGGGTGAGAGTGGGCGAGTGTTGGGGGGGGGTGAGAGTGGGCGAGTGTTGGGGGGGGGGTGAGAGTGGGCGAGTGTGGGGGGGGGGGGTGAGAGTGGGCGAGTGTTGGGGGGGGGGTGAGAGGGGCGAGTGTTGGGCGGGGTGAGAGTGGGCGAGTGTTGGGGGGGGGGTGAGAGTGGGCGAGTGTTGGGGGGGGGGGTGAGAGTAGGCGAGTGTTGGGGGGGTGAGAGTGGGCGAGGGTTGGGGGGGGGGTGAGAGTGGGTGAGTAAACTTCCAGGGATGTGAAGTTTAGCCTCCCTGTAGCCTTTCCTTGTAGCTCATACTTCTCAGTTTTGAGAATAGTCTGGTGGCATACCTCTAAATCTTCTCTAACATTGTCTTGTGTTTAGCTAGGTGTGGACTGTATGGCTGGAGCTGTATTCTCCTGGATAGGTTTGACATAAGAGGTATAAAGGGTCCTGAATGATTCCTTTCACACGTTTCTAAAGACAGTTCCTATGTTCCAATCTAGCATATGCCGCTGATGATATCCTTTTGGTGTGGGCTTCTGGGGACAGGTTCGGTGTGATGTCAACCCCTAGATCTTTGCCTCTATTTGACTCTTGCAGGATTTCACCTCCCAGATGGTACCTTGTGCTCAGCCTCCTGCTCCCTTCGCCTAATTTCCTTACTTTACACTTTCCTGAGTTGAACTTTAGTAGCTATTTTCTAGACCATTCCTCCAGTTTGTCCAGGTCGTCCTGTAGTCTCTGTCTTCATCTGTCTTGATTCTTCTCACAATTTTTGCATAATCGGCATACATTGTGAGGAATGAGTCTATTCCCTCTGGAAGATTGTTTACATATATCAAACAGGATGGGTCCAAGTACTGAGCCCTGTGGGATTCCGCTGGTGAAATCTTGCCACTCTGATGTTTCCCCCCTAACAGTTACTCACTGTTTCCTATTGCTTAAATACTCCCTTATCCACTGGAGCACCTTGCCTTTTACTCCTGCCTGTTGCTCCAACTTTTGTAACAGCCTTTTATGGGGTACTGTGTGAAAGGCTTATAGTCTTTCAACGGAAAACCTGAATTTTGTTTGTTTTTTGAAGCGAATAATTTAATTCTTTTGATTATTGACAAACTGTTCTGTACCCGTTTCTTTTTACTAAATAACATTTAGAATATGATCTATTTCAGATGATTACAATCTGCTGTCCATTTATAAGTGAACTGAAGAATTTGTTGAGTGATTACTGGCTGGGCGTGAGCTGCAACAATGCAAATAGTTATCGGAAAATAACTCCACTTTCTGCCTGTGACAGAACATCTTCGACTCAATCACAGCTGCAGCTCCAGGTAATTGATGTTACAATATTTATGTACTTACCTTTATACTGGTTAACCCTTAAAGTGTGCATCACGTCATATGACGTGTTAGACGTTGTTTCAGTCAACTGCACATCACGTCATATGATGTGTTGGAGTACTACGCAAGATTTAAACGGCCCGCGGATACACGGGGGTTCACCACACCTTCATCAGGGCTCTTGTAAACAGACGCCATTTTTTTTTTAAATCGTGGGCCAAACTCTCGGGTGTTATTGGCCTCAGTATTGAGTGAGCAACCAAGCTTGACGCACGCAGCATGAGCTAACAGCACTGCTGTTCAGCTTGTGACCACAGCATCGCCTAAAAATGCCAAAATATACTTGTTCATGCTATTATGTAGCGATGATATTATTACAGAATACCCCTGACTGTGATAAAACTGACCAGGGTTCTGATAATAGCAGGATTGTGGTGATATTTAGTGCTGTGCGCCATGAAGGGAGGAGTAATGCTGTGGGAGGGAGGGTGGTGGCGATGTCTTCTGACTGTGTGGCCACCTTTTATTGACTGCACTCACCATACCAGCTTAGTGGTTCGCTATGGTGAACACAAATGTTGATACTTATATATAACGTGCGTATAGAGGGTATAAACAGCAAGAGAAGGTTGGGAGCCGCCATTTTGGTGAGGGCGGTGGCGTCGTCTGCACGACGCCACCGCCCTCAACACCGTCGTGCAGACGACGGTGTTGTTTACTGGTTACCACGATGGTCTTTGGGCACCATACCAGTTTTTGTACAAGTATGGTGAATAAAACGGGTAGGTATTTATATATAATGTGTGTATATAGCGTAATAACACCACACAGTATTGTTGGAGGAGAAATATTAGTGCGTCTGGCCTTGTGGGCGGCAGCCATCAGTTGACTGTGTGAGGTCCTACGTCTTTGTGCCTTTACTCACCATACAAGCTTAGATGTACAGTTATGGTGAACAAAACATGTAGATACTTATATATAACGTCTGTATATAGTGAATTATAGAAAAAACAGTATTGTGGGAGGAGAAGGTGGGTGAGTCAGATGACTGGAGGGAGGGCGGGAGTGGCTGGCTGGTACACGGCGGTCACTCCTCATTACTTTTTGACTCATAATAGCTACTTAGTGGTTCGTTATAGTGAACAAAACATGCAGATACTTATATATAACCTGTGCTTATAGTGTAATAACCGACAAAGTATTTGTTCACTGATTGATGAACATAATTGAATCAACAATATGTACACCATATTTTTGAGTACAGCAATGATTCACTCATTTTATTATATAAATATATCAAACTACACACTATTGAATAATATTACAGCAAAAAAACTATGAAAAATCAATCAGAGACATTGAAATAATTAGGTAATTATCTCTCTGTGGCAACTCCGGCCTGATAGCTTGCGAGCAACAGACCGCCTGGGACGCACGCTGAGTCAGCGCCTATAATTTGCCAGACTTCCCCGCCCTATAGCAGGCAATATATGCCACTTACGATTTTTTTATTATTTTTCCCGTGATCAGTGAACACAAATTGACAGGTTAGGAAGAAAAAATATTTTTTTTTTTCAAAATGACATGCGCCTGTGGGGATGACAGGATATTAGACCCCGAGCATGTTAAGGGTTAATGCATAGCCAGTACTGTATCATCTTTATACCTCCATAACCCTCACACTGCTCCAGTTGTGTTAACCCGCGCACTGCTCCAGTCGTGTTAACCCTCGCACTACTGCAGGCGTGTTAACCCTCACACTGCTCCAGGCGTGTTAACCCTCGCACTGCTGCAGTCGTGTTAACCGTCACACTGCTCCGGGCGTGTTAACCCTCGCACTGCTGCAGGCGTGTTAACCCTCACACTGCTCCAGTCGTGTTAACCCTCGCACTTCTCCAGTCGTGTTAACCCTCGCACTGCTCCAGTCGTGTTAACCCTCACACTGCTCCAGGCGTGTTAACCCTCACACTGCTCCAGGCGTGTTAACCCTCACACTGCTCCAGTCGTGTTAACCCTCGCACTGCTCCAGGCGTGTTAACCCTCGCACTGCTCCAGTCGTGTTAACTCTCGCACTGCTCCAGGCGTGTTAACCCTCGCACTGCTCCAGGCGTGTTAACCCTCACACTGCTCCAGTCGTGTTAACCCTCACACTGCTCCAGTCGTGTTAACTCTCGCACTGCTGCAGGCATGTTAACCCTCGCACTGCTCCAGGCGTGTTAACCCTCGCACTGCTCCAGGCGCGTTAACCCTCACACTGCTGCAGGTGTGTTAACCCTCACACTGCTCCAGGCGTGTTAACCCTCACACTGCTCCAGGCGCGTTAACCCTCACACTGCTGCAGGTGTGTTAACCCTTGCACTGCTGCAGGCGTGTTAACCCTCGCACTGCTGCAGGCGTGTTAACCCTCACACTGCTCCAGGCGTGTTAACCCTTGCACTGCTCCAGGCGTGTTAACCCTTGCACTGCTCCAGGCGTGTTAACCCTCACACTGCTCCAGGCGTGTTAACCCTTGCACTGCTCCAGGCGTGTTAACCCTCACACTGCTCCAGGCGCGTTAACCCTCACACTGCTGCAGGTGTGTTAACCCTCGCACTGCTGCAGGCGTGTTAACCCTCGCACTGCTCCAGGCGTGTTAACCCCTCACACTGCTCCAGGCGTGTTAACCCTCACACTGCTCCAGGCGTGTTAACCGTCACACTGCTCCGGGCGTGTTAACCCTCGCACTGCTGCAGGCGTGTTAACCCTCACACTGCTCCAGTCGTGTTAACCCTCGCACTTCTCCAGTCGTGTTAACCCTCGCACTGCTCCAGTCGTGTTAACCCTCACACTGCTCCAGGCGTGTTAACCCTCACACTGCTCCAGGCGTGTTAACCCTCACACTGCTCCAGTCGTGTTAACCCTCACACTGCTCCAGGCGTGTTAACCCTCGCACTGCTCCAGTCGTGTTAACCCTCGCACTGCTCCAGGCGTGTTAACCCTCGCACTGCTCCAGGCGTGTTAACCCTCGCACTGCTCCAGGCGTGTTAACCCTCACACTGCTCCAGTCGTGTTAACCCTCACACTGCTCCAGTCGTGTTAACTCTCGCACTGCTGCAGGCGTGTTAACCCTCGCACTGCTGCAGGCGTGTTAACCCTCGCACTGCTGCAGGCGTGTTAACCCTCGCACTGCTGCAGGCGTGTTAACCCTCGCACTGCTCCAGGCGTGTTAACCCTCGCACTGCTCCAGGCGTGTTAACCCTCACACTGTTCCAGGCGCGTTAACCCTCACACTGCTCCAGGCGTGTTAACCCTTGCACTGCTCCAGGCGTGTTAACCCTTGCACTGCTCCAGTCGTGTTAACCCTCACACTGCTCCAGGCGTGTTAACCCTTGCACTGCTCCAGGCGTGTTAACCCTCACACTGCTCCAGGCGTGTTAACCCTCGCACTGCTGCAGGCGTGTTAACCCTCGCACTGCTGGAGGCGTGTTAACCCTCACACTGCTCCAGGCGTGTTAACCCTTGCACTGCTCCAGGCGTGTTAACCTTTGCACTGCTCCAGGCGTCTTAACCCTCACACTGCTCCAGGCGTGTTAACCCTCACACTGCTCCAGGCGTGTTAACCCTCACACTGCTCCAGGCGTGTTAACCCTCACACTGCTCCAGGCGTGTTAACCCTTGCACTGCTCCAGTCGTGTTAACCCTCACACAGGTGAAGCTGGAGGAGGCAGAAGTCACACTGCAGCAACCTCCTGGAAATATCGAATTACCTAAGTATTGGGAACAGGTTGAGGGCTACAGTGGTGTCCCAGGTTACATAAAGGTTCAGGGAAGAGTAAAAGCAAATAAAATACAATAAACAAGTAAAACTGAGTGAAAATAGTCGAGTGGAAAAGTTTGTTTTGGTCTAGAACAAAATCAAAGATGGCCGCCGCCACCACCCCCACTGAGAAGGTAGACACACCATCAGATGATGGTTTCAAAGGATTCTCACCACAAGATATAAGGAAAGGAGGTGTTCTTGGCAGGTTAGAGATAATTGAGGACATGCAAAAGAAGTATGAAGAAAAAGTGCTTAAATTAGAAGAGGACAATGGAGCTCTTTGGAGTGAGCTTTGCACTCTAAAAGGGAGTATGCTTCAACAAGGTAAGATTATTACTGCATTAACAGACAAGGTAACAAATCAGGAGGAGCAAATCAAGGAACTAGTGAAAGAAAATGAGGCATGGAAAGTGAAGTGTGGTGACTTTGAAGAAATAAACAAGAAAATAGACTCATATGGTGAACAACTCCAAGCAAGCCTAAGGGCTAACATAGAGTTAGGTAAGGATCTCCAACTGGAAACTTCACTGACAACTCACATAGAGGAGGTGAATAAAGAACTAGAAAAGTATAAAGAAGAAATAAAAGCGACATATGCTCAAGTTGTAAAAGAGAAAGAGACTATCAAAGAAGTGTGTTCGGAAGTCAAAACCAGAAATGACCAACAAGAAGCAGAAATTAGGCAAGCAATTAGGAAAGAACTGGTTACCAACAGTAAACTGGTACAAAACACTGCAGATAGAACTAAGTCCATAATCATTTTTGGATGTTTAGAGAAGGAAATTTCATCTAGGGTGGACCGAGCGGCAGAAGAGATGAAAATCATAGAGAAAATAGTAGGTTTAGGAGAAGGCTCAAAGGAAAATGTCAGTGATTTTAGAAGAATAGGAAAATATGAGAAAGAAAAGAACCGCCCCTTAAGGGTGACCTTTAATGGAGTGAAAAACATGATGGAAGTGCTAAGAAATGCCAGGAAACTGCAGAGAATGAAAATGAACTTAATTGAGGCAAAACGGCTAAATGGGGATAGAAATGAAGAAGACAGAAATTCTTTTTTTTACAAAGTGACAGGGACTGGAAAGCTTGTGAAATGGTACATAAAAACAAAGCAACAAGATCAGTAGTGGAAGGGGGAGTAAAGAGCAAAGGAAAAGGGAACATGTTCCTGAAAATTGTATATACCAACATAGA